TCTTAATAAAATTTCGTATTCAATTTTTTAGCCTTATATTTTTAAGAATTATATAAAACTATCTAAGTTCGAAAGGACAGAAAAAAGATATGTATGAACAAATTATTCCTATATGTTATAGATATACATGTATTTATTTAATTTTATCAATTGCATATAGAATAAAAAGGTTACTGTGAAATGATCGTCATTAATTCATTTTTAGCTTGACTTCTCGAAGAATATGGACATCTAATGCAGTCGCCCCGGCGTCGGCGTTGGCGTCAACGTCCGGGTCGGTGTCTGCGTTGGTTAAAGTTTTTTTTATAAAACCAAATATTTCAATTATTGCTTGAGATATTCAATTGAAACTTACAATACTTATTTATAGTAACAATGTACATCAGATTGACAAGTTGGATAATTCTGCCTACAATATTTACAGAATTATGCCCCTATTTAACTTAGAAATTTTGGTTAAAGTTTTTTGTTAAGTCAAATATCTCAATTATTGCTTGATATATTCTATTGAAATTTACAACACTTTTTTGTAGTAACAATGTTCATTAGTTTGCAAAGTAGCAGAAGTCTTCCTGCAATATTTGTAAAATTATGCCCCTTTGAAACTTAGACATTTTGGTTAAACGTTAAAGGTCTTAAGAACTAACAAAGATATTTACTTGAAACTTTACACATGTGCTTAGGGTCATATTTGATGGTCACATCTAAAGATCCATTACTCTGCCATGTATTTTGACTGAATTATGCTCCCTTTTGTACTAAAAAAATCTCATTTCTGGGTTAAGGTAGACCATGGGTAATGCATTATCTCCACTTTGAAGAGTATTCAAATAAGCTAGAATCGCTTGTAAACTACATTGAAATTGAGGGGCGTTGGTTCAAACCCCGGAACGGGCAACTTTTTTTCTTTCTTTTTTCTTTTTAACATTATTTATGTATCTCTCTGATCCCTTATGGAAGAAAAAAAGTTTGATTTAAATTATATAACTATTTTAGGTATTTTTTGCTAAACAATGCCAAAATTTATAGCAAATATGATACCAGATATTTTCAAAGTTCGATAAAATAAAAACTACACGGTAAAAGTATTTTATATTTGGCATGATCAACTAATATACCTTTGAGAAAATTTAGGCAAACTTTGAAAACAGACCCTCATTTCGATAAATTTTAGGGATATTTTAAATAAGGCATTTTAGATAGGGAAATGGTAAAATTAGTGTTTAAAGTGGGTGGGGTAGGGTAACATTTTTATACATATTAAGAACATTTTGTTTAGAAACAAACATTTTGCTGGTTTAATGTGTTACCTGAATGTTATTATTTGTTTCTTAACAATGAGCAATAGAAAAACATTTTTTATAATGATGATATTACAGATTATTAAAAGTTTCCTCATTTCTGAAAATAAGCCCTTCTAATGGCAAACTCTTAGTTCAGAAATATATCCATAACTCATAAACCACACGGTAAATTTTATTTAAATTTTGCCTACAAGTGACCTTGAAGACATATAACTGTCCTATGTTGACAATTTTACAGTTCCTTATGGTGCCCATTACCTATGATCTACCTTAAGTTTTACATGCAAGTTTTGCATATCTCTGAAACTATTAAAGATACAAACTTGAAACTTTATATGTATATGTGTGGTCATAAATAATGATCACTGATCAGCACTCATATCTGTGTCATGTATTTAGGCTGATTTATCTTCCCTTTTATACTTTGTCTCTTGGTTAATGTTTACATGCAAGTTTTTCATATCTCATGACTATCAAAGATATTATTTTACAACTTCACAAATGCATTAAGGGTCATAATTGTAGGTCACTGACCCAGATCCATAATTTTATCTTGTATTTAGGCTTATTTCTCTCCCCTTTTGAACTTTATATTTTTATTTTTTCATTTATTTAATTACATAACCTTTTGAGATATAGCCATGATACTTACATTACTTGTTTACAATAATGATCTAAATCTGTAATCCATAAATATTTCAATTTTCACTTGCAGTACTTCAAACTTCTTTTCAAAAGTCATGTTCATTATAATATTCTGATAAATATAAAATGCATTTCCACTAAACAAGCCGGGCTAGCGCACAGGTAAAGTGCTGGTCTGTCAAAAGGTAGACCTGTATTCAATTCCTGTCCTTTCCATTTGTCCAATGTCATTACTTTGATATCTGTGCTAATTGTTGAGCATGCTGTCATCGGACAGCTCTGATTTACTTTTTACCAAATGTATGCCCCTTTTTATACCCAATTAAACTCATGGTTAACTTTATACTTGTGAGCTGGTATCTCCTTAACTACCGAAGGGAATGGAATGAAACTTAGCATACATTTTCACTATGGTTTTTAACATGATTGGCACAGGTCCCATATTTCTGATTTACTTATTTACATATTTTATTACCCTTTTTAATGCTCCATGAAACATCCTTGTGACAACTCTATCGAATAATCGAGCATTGCTGTCCTCCGACAGCTCTTGTTTTTTATTTATTTATAATTGCGACAAAATAATACTTCTTCTTTTATAGATGTAGATGAGTGTAAAGATTCTGCAATGAATAAATGTGATCAAGTTTGTGTCAACACCAACGGAAGTTACACCTGTAAATGTCAACAAGGATTTACCATGCTGGAAGGATCATGTCAAGGTAAGATCAGTTTTAATGTCGACACTTATTTTAAAAACAATTTTTTTTTTTAATTTTAGATAAGTTTTTCTTCAAAAGTAATGTGACAAGAATCCGTCAAAAATGATGAAATATGGGCAAATAGGAGACAATTACAGACTAACATTTATTGTAGTCATTAGAAACACAAATAAAATTATATACAATTAAAGTTTTGTTTTAAAGGCACATTATGCCTCAGAAATCCTTTTTATTAAATTCTTTAGAAATGTAAAACACATGTTTAATAATGTTTTAATAAAGGATTTAGAACATGTAAGATATTTAACAGCTGAAGAAAGTAGTGCTGAATGTGCAGTAATGTGTCGTAAAGGTAGCAAAATGTAAACAAATAGTATTTTGACTTCCATACAAAATACTTATTCATTATAATTATATATTATAATATTATAATTGCCAGCAAAGCAAAAGATGCAAAAATAGTTAATTTATATGGCAAATAAATATTTTTGTGGAACTTGTATTAAGACGCCAAATATTTAAAATTTGGCGAAATAAAAATGATAGCATTTCTGACGCATAATGTGCCTTTAAGTTTTCGTTTACCTATTCGTTTAAAGTTACGTAACAAGGTGACATTATGTTGATATCAAATATTTTCGAGTATGTTTGCAATTCTTTAATGAAAGAAAACAAAAATAGGCAAAATTAGAATAATACTTTTATCCTAGATATCGACGAGTGTAGCGGAATAAATGACTGTGATCAGATATGTGATAACACAATAGGAAGTTATAGATGCTCTTGTTACGATGGATATGCTCTTAATCTAACCGAAAGAAAATCATGCAGTCGTAAGTATTACTTTGAAAAATAAAATGGAAATTCAGCAACGTTTGAAAGGAAACTTTCTTTCAATGAATGTTATACACATTTGATTTTAACAACCACAATAAATCAATAAATAATAAAATGGCTATAACCATGCATACTTGACATAATATCATAATATTTGAAAAAGGCAATTCCGGGAACAGGAATTTTAACTTAATTTATTTTTGCATAATTAATTGAATTTAATTATTTTATTCAGTCTTTTATTCATCTAATTATGCTTTTTCTGTTGTTGTAATTCTAATTGTCATATATTTTAATAATACGAGTATAATAATATATATAATTAATATATATAATAATATAAATCTTTTAATAATACCTGAAAGATATTCTTATCATTTTTCCTTAATTATTGTTATTATCATTATCATTATAATCATAAATAATATTATCGTCATGATAAATCCAGAGTAATTTTAGAATTTATGTCATATTCTAACACAGACATTAATCTTCAAAATTACAAGTATAATTATTCTTTCATTTTCAGCCAAATATGTGTGTACAGAAGATAATTCATCGACGTGTGGGGATAACGCATTATGCATGATGCAGGACGGTGAGGTAGAGTGTCGTTGTTTTAAAGGACATGTGAAAAAGAATGACATTTGTGTTGGTAAGTTATGTAAAATACAAACAATATAGAGGTTATTGATATACATGTCAGTATTCTTTGTAAAAGAGTCATAGTATGAAATTATCAAACAATTTATCTGTTTTTGATATGCTATGTAGCTAAAAGAACAAAACTGCGCGATTTTATCTCACCTTTTTTATTTTAGTTTAGATTCTTTTTCATATTACATAATATATTATATACTTCTTTCAGACATAGATGAATGCAATGAAACGCCTTGTTCCCAAATTTGCATCAATACTAACGGCAGTTACACGTGCAATTGTCAAAACGGATATTTCCTTAAGGAAGACAAGTTCACATGTCAAGGTTAGTGATTTACAAGGAATGCCACCAAATACGCTTTCTTTGTGCTTTTTTTTAAATATTATCTTAAAGAAATCATACAAATAATAAATTAGCTAAGAATTACGATGTGTGTTGCCATGCTTTTCGTTCAAATCGGGCTAAGAATAGCACCAAATATGATTTTCAGTTTATTTCTGAGTATACCTCTTACGTTTGCATTTTTCTCTGTTTAAGTGCTCCCGCTGATCAATGTAAGAAATTCACATTTTATGTTTTAGGCTAAGTGGGGTTTCTTAAAGGTTACTTAGAGTTATAAAACAATATATTTTACAGCAAGAATGTCAAATATCTCATCAGATAAATTATATACAATTCTTATCTTTAACTCATCGAGTCAAATTTTCAGTTTGTGACTTATTCAAGTATGGCACAAATTGTGAAAACATCTGCACATGCGTAAGAGAAAATACGGACTCCTGTGACCCCAAGACTGGTCAGTGTTCTTGTAAAAATGGTTGGACTGGTGATAAATGTGATGATGATGTCGATGAATGTGCGAATAGTGATGTAGTTTGTCCTTACAATTCTGAGTGTTTTAACACGCCTGGCAGCTTTGATTGTAAATGCGACATAGGATATCTTCTAGTAGCCTCCGGGGAGTGCAAAGGTATTGTTATATAATTTTTTCTTACAAAATTATGGGACTTACAAGTACATGTACCTATTGAAATATTATGTGATGTTCATGTGATATTGATTTATGGAATATCAATATATTTTAGTTTGTGATAATCGACACTATGGAGAAAACTGCAACAGTATTTTGCAATTGCCACATTGAAAACACAGACTCCTGCAATCATACAAGTGGCGTATGTACATGCAAAAAGGTAAAAAATTCTCCCATACATAAATGTTTTATGAAAACTGCTTATATCATATTATTTTTAAATTACAAATGTGTTTAAAAGTTGTTTCAACTATTTTTTTACAACGGAAATAATACATATTTGACTACTTTAACAAATGTACTCTTCTTTGTATTACACATCTATTTATTTAATAAATGCCACAGAAGTACATAAAAATGATTTAGTATCGTGATAATAGAATCATTGACATTTGTATTGCATATTATTTTCGGCATTGAAATACCATCTACATTCTATTTCTGAGATAAAGTCTTGAATAATGTATCAAAAATCTATAATTTATCATTTTGATACTTACACATGATAATTATATTTTTTCCATTGTGTCTTTTTGTATAATGTAGGGATGGACAGGGGAAACATGTTTGGATGACATAAACGAATGCGATACTAATTCATGTAGTGATGTATCACATTCTTTCTGTGAGAATAGAAATGGGTCCTACGAATGCATATGTACAGCTGGATTTAGAGTTTTTGAGAATACCTGCAGTGGTGAGACATCCAATCATTTTCAAGTCAAATCATAGTTTATGATAGGTTCATTACAAAAAGAAACTTTATCGAAATAAAATACTAAACAACAAATCAAATGACAGTATTCGAGGTCGGTATAGTAAAAAAGATAAGGTAAGAGTTACAAAAATAAAATGAGATATAATTGTCTAGTTTAAAGCAGTTCAGCTTTGTACAATTATGGTTATTGTCTCTAGTCAGGTGCTGTTTTCTAGCGGGAGACATTCCTGTGCTTTGTTGTTCTGTGCATTTTCAGACATGAAATTCATAAAATATATCCTGTCCAACCCATAAACTTTAGTAAGAAAATGTATAGAAATATCCATAAGATTCATTCTGGTAGGTAGTAGGTAGACTATAACTGTATTTTAGCACAAACCGAACTAAACTTGTTGGATATACAAATATACATGTAAATCTTCTAGATATAAATGAATGTGAAGAAGATGCTTTTAACGCTTGTGAACAGTCATGTATCAATTCAATTGGAAGTTTTCATTGTGGTTGCTTCAAAGGATATTATATGGTTAATAATGTGTGTAAAGGTAAGAGACTCTTGTAGTTTGATGAGATAATTAACAAGTGTTTAACATAAGTATGTCGGAGTGAAGAGCTTGTAAAAGACATTGTATTTATTCAGAATAACTGCATTGTCAAACGGTTGAATGATGTTTTTAATTTTAGTGTTAAACTACAACATATAATCAGTGTAAAAAAAACGGAATCGTTAAAGCTGGCTATATACTAGCTAGAACTGCCAAAACGACAGGCTTGAGGATGTTGCATGTCGTTTCCATTGAACATGCTCCTGAACGGAAGTGGTATTTTTAAGCTATAATACACAGCCCTCGAAACGTTTGAAACTTAATTATTTTACTTTTAAAATCAAATTCATGAGAGACTATGAATGCCTAAAGTACATATGAAGAAACTTCTTAATACCGGTATGATATATATGTATTTTTTCACAGAATGTTCTGGCAATACGTTTGGCGAAAATTGTACGGAACAATGTAATTGTGTGGCAAAAAAGTCTGAAAATGTTGAGCAGACATGTGACACGGTGACTGGAAAGTGTAGATGTAAATCTAACTGGAAAGGAGAAACCTGTTCGGAAGATGTTGATGAATGTGAGGAAGATACAACATTGTGTAGTGATAAAAACAACACAACATGTGTAAATACGCACGGCTGGTACCAATGCGATTGTATCAGAGGTTTCAAGGAAAATACGGACGGACAATGCGTTGAATGTAAGGCCTACTGGAAAAATATCATTTTACATTTAATAAATACTGAACAAACAAAATGAACAAAAGATATTTGTATGATGAAACTAAAGTGATTTTGTATAGACAGAACTGGATTAATAAGCACAATGTTATAGTGTAAGATTTTTTAAGTTCCTTATATCAATTTGTCACTCGAAAATGTGTAGTCTTGAATCATGCACGATTTGGAGTCAAAAGATTCTTTAAATATATTATTCTTTAATATTATTTCAGATAGCAGTTTTTCAACGGATATTCCTAAAGGTAAAGGAGATATCATACATATTCACAATTAATTTTAATTATGTTATATCCTGTTATAAAATATATTCTGGTTGGCAAAATTGACAATGTTGTAGACATAGTTTGATTGGACCAGTTCATGGACGATAGTGGTAATAGCAAGGTTGGAAAGAATAACAATGGTGAAATTAACGACGGGTCAACATTTAACGGCTGCCAATATAACGATAAACATTTACATTCATACTTCGTGTAAATAAAATAAGTGTATAGCTATGTAGCGTGTCAAACTCGTTTTGACGACAGTCTTCTTTAACAATTTTACGATATTTTTTCAGTTGCTGGTGTAATGACATTTAATTTTAGTATTACAATTCACACGAACTCATTGGCAGGAGTTAACATGAAGTCAGCAAATTCCTTCGATATTGTGAGAGGGAAAGTCGAAAAAAGCGTAAATATATATTTTTCATAAGAAATTGATAATGTAAATATCCTGTTACATATCTAAATTAAAATGTACATCATCTTTATAAGAATTGTTTTTATATATCTGTAACAAAGAATCGAGCTCTAAATTTCATTAACAGTTTCCCCTCTTTCAGCTTGGCTGTTTACTGCTTTTTAAGTTATAATGTATGTACATGTTTCTGTAATGAATGAGAGCGTAATAAAATTTTGTTATTGAACTAATTCAAAACATCAAAATACCTCTTTTTCTTTTTCAGTTGTTGGGATTTTACTCCCGTTATACAGCAGCCGTGATTCAAATATTTATTGTTGACTTAAAGTAAGTTCAAAACATAACGATCCACACATAATTATTTCAGCAACCTTTAATCATAACAAATATTGTAAGTGTAGGCATATTTTATCTGTGATACATTTGTAAACAACATGCAATTTAAATCAGAAAATAAATAAACTTAGAGCTATGATGGTTAATTGTATATCATATATATGTTAGATTATTTAACATTTAGAGATTGTAATTATTGTCATTGCAAAATTGCAAAAGCTTAAAAGACAATGCTTTGTAACAAGTTTATATTGGATAAATGAATCGCAACATTTAAAATGACATAGAGTCTTGCACCGAATGAGCACCAAAAGATAAATTTCACGAGTGGCGCAGTCACGAGTGAAATATGAACTTTTGGTGTTCACGAGGTGAAATATATTTTTATCTTACACTAAACCAAACTAAATATTCCTTTAAGAATTGGAAGCATCATAGTGGATTATGTAATTGCATTTGATGAAGATACGGGAGTGTCCTCTGAACTAATTACAGCATCTGCCGACTTAATTCAAGGGGCACAGATAATGTTTGACGGTGAATTAGTGAATGCCACGTCTGGTAAGTTATCAAATACATTTTATCAAAGCAAATGAAGAAAATAAGAATAAATTTCAACTTCAATCTTTATGAGATCATAACGTTATTGATTTAACTCTATAATTGAATGTATATCTAAATCATTTGAAATGTGCATATGTATGAAAACAAAATTACAACAACAACAAAACCAGCAAAATTACATTAAACGCATAACATTTGAAATTAATAAATAATGTTTTATTTATTGATGTGGTATGTTGAATTTATGCACTAAGAAATCACAATATTTTCAGATGGACATCAAAATATGGACCCGTGCATGTTGTATTTGATATTGATAGGAAGCTGCGATAGCGGTTATCACTGTGAAGTTTCAAATAACGTTCCAAGATGCAGGTTCGAGTATTTAGACTTATTTGTTTTGTATTGATAAGTTCATATTTCATTTTCAAGTTTGTTAACATAACTTAATTTAATATTTGGTCATTTTAACAATATCAAAATAATTATGGCCTTACCAAAAAAACGCAACATAATTTTGTTATTTGTTTACTTTCTTGTCAAACAGTATGTTTAATTAGTATTGATGTATTTCAGACAAAACAAAGAAGATGGTAAGATTTCAATTTTGACTTTTTAATACGAATGTTTTGAAAAGATTCAAATCATTTGGAATTTCCATACCTGTGAATTAATCATGTTAAGTAATTATATGAAAGGACATGAAAAAATAAAATATTCTGTGTCAGTTTCATATATCTAAGTTACCTCGTTATCTAGCTCAATACAAATACACTATGTTGTAAAAAGAATCCTTGCCTTATCCTAAAATGATTGATATTACACAATGTATAAACTAATGTGCAGTTCTACACTTAGTGAAGATTATTTCAATCTCCGATCAAAAGTCGTATCATTTCACCTTTTAAGTTTGCAAGTATGTCAAGTTTTAAAAAATATAGAATTATCTGGAAATAATTTACTTAAAACAAGATAATTTTAGACATAACTAGTGCATTGCTTTATACGTGTCTATTATTAAGCAGATGTTAAATATATATTTTTTACTCTGATCAGTTCTGTGTTACATATGATTACATTTCATATTTTTTGAGAGTGTTAGTTTGTTGCTTAACTTTCAGACGACGGACTATTTCATATTATCATTGCGATCATTTCAACATTGTGTGTGTTGATTATTATCGGGGTGATAATTAATATCATGTGTCTTCGGAAACGGAAACAAAAGCAGAAAAAGCATGGAAAACAAAGGTTTAAACACGAAACTTTTGCAATAATACAAAACTTGATATATAAACATCATATGATGTGCTGCTGCTGTTATTATAATCTACAGTTACTGTACATTTCAATTAATTTTTATATAATTGATAATTTCCAATACATGCTATTATGTTCAGTTGTTTTAATCGTTTTCTTAGCACATTTGTTTTATTTATGTCTGTAAAATTCCACACTGAATTTATTGGGTTATTACTTTAACAATAGGTCAAAATGATGATTATATAATAATCATATATGCTCCTCTATTTTTTAAATTATTTCGTCAACATATTTGGTTCTAAGTTTTGTGTTCTGAATGAGAATATCACACACATCGATTACAAAATACTTGTCATTCATTCTAAAGTTGTTTGCACTTTTACAGTATTTTTATACTTATTATATTTTGCTGACAGTATGAGAGAAAGGAATTATGGAGAGGGAAGTTATCACAGAACTGCAAAAGCTATTAAAGAAGGTATGTAAACCTTGTTCATTGAGCAGAACACTTCTTATTCTTCTAGAATTTGCTTTTTTATAACAAGAAACAAACCGTAAATATACTTTATTGAATACGCAAAACGTCTAAATTTGTACAATAGGGTTTTACGGTTTTATATTAGGGACAGTCTTTATTTCGTCTATAAAAATTAGCTATCCATGATAAACAGTCTGTTCAGATTGTACGAAATTGCAAGTTTTTCTTTACACCAAACTGTACGGATTTGCAGGCTATCCTGACCTCAAACAGTGCGGATTTGAAGGCTGCTTCAATAGTCTCAAACTATAAGGGCTTTCAAACAATACGGTTTTAGGCTTACCTAACTTTAAGCCTTTACCATAGGCATTATCGTATCAATATTGAAAGGGAACATAAATACTCTATATTATGTGACATAAGTGAAATATAATATGTTATTTTGGTTTTGGAGTGATATATGTGAATATATTACCTGTCAAGATTTTATATCACCCGAGCCGTTAGGCGAGGGTGATATTTTATCTTGGCAGGTAATATATCCACATATTTCACTCCAAAACCAAAATAATAATTTTATTACCCTTCCCTTGCCGAGTTAAGACGATTTTAAAATAAATCATTGCTACTTCAAATGAAACGTCGAAATAAGATTCTCTTTAGGGTACCCATTCACCACAACATGACGTCACATAAATACATGACGTATTTTCTTTCGAACCTAACGAATGTAAACAAGAGAAAGGAGTAGTCTGTTGAACGCACTTTTTTGGAATTAATATCAAGCTTTTACAAGCTAGGTCATATTTGTTTTCAATTCTGATGAGAATATGTATCATTACTCTATTTTGGTAAATATTTATCATTTGACAGTTAAAAAGTGCTTGTAAATCGGAATTTACATCGCGTAAAATCAAACCGTACGCGAATCGCCACAGCGCATGTTGTTTACAACGTGGGGTACGCAACGGGGAAATTTAGTGTGTATATTACCCGACTGGCTCGTTTATATCAATTTCTTTCGGGTGATCAATATCCAATCAAAAAGGCGAAAAAAATATGGAAGGGTAAAAAAATGAAATATTAAACGTTAGGACTCTGGATATAACATATAACAAAAAATACTAATGCACCAGTTTCATTTTATTTGTTACTGTTATTTTTTTTCAAAGCAATAATCATACATCTTGAGTCTATAGATTAAAGTATAAAGTATATAAATGTATGCGTTAAATGTTACAGACACTAACTCAAAGGGACATTTTAATTCGAAAGTCCTTGCATGGAACCAGATGCAATCAGGATTCACTGACATCGCCGGACGAAATATTGCGGTATGTTTAATTAATTTATATTCTAGACCCGATTAAAAAAAAAACATTATGCAAATACAAAAGAAAAGAAAAAATAATTACAAAAATAAAACTGTAGGACAAAACATTTATTATATTATTTCATATCACTTTTCGGACACGACGTTTATCATGATTGATTTAGATTTTTTTTAATATCATACAAAGACTTCTCAGAGCAAACATGTTAAAACTTTAAGTTAAGGTATGTCTTAAATGTGTCGGCTGTTTTGAAATCCATAGTACATGTATCATTTTGTTTAGCAGAAAAAACTTGGAAAAATTCAATTCAACATTTCAAGCAAGTTTGAAAATGGCGGATGATTTCTTTGACCGTTTCTTCTTTAAGAATCTATAAATGTTATAATATCTTGTACCCAATAGTATCCTTAAGATTGCATTTATTTTATGATATTATTACTAGACAAATACGCAAACAATATTCATTATGTAATGATTTATTATCATTGTAAAATATTTGTGTCTTTTTAAGTACAATCAACCACTACATGTCCCCAGAGTTCACAACGAAAGGAATAATTCGTTTGGAATTCACAACAACGGCTTTGATTGTGGTGGAGCAAGAGCAAACAGAGCCCGTAATGATAGCGTAATCTTCAAAAGCAGCCATGGCGTAACTGGAGGTAGATCTAACAGAGCCCGTAATGACAATGGAATCCACTACGATGGTTTTGAGAGTGATGGATTCAGAGTTAGTCAGTGCTAATGATGTGATCAACAAAGGCTTTGATCATACTTGGGTAGAACTTACAGATCTTCGTATGATGACAAGATGGATCTAGAGGAATATTTCAACTTTTAAGAAATAAAACCCCATTTTACTGCAAAGATTATCATATGGATTTGTCTTATTTTATTTTATTTTAATTCTGATAATATAAATAAAGATAAAAAGTGTATCCAACAGAAAATGAAAAAACGCTAAAGAATTGTTTCTATCTTGATGATTGACTTATAGTCTTTTGAAAATATTTAAACATCCTGTTTTTTTTTCTTGTTTTCTCGACAATGAGTATTTTCCGGAAGATATGTCTTGACATATTGTATAGCAAATTATAGTGTGTGTTTTTAATATTTTATCATTTTGTTTATTTCAAGTTAAAATTCTTTTGATTTCGATGTATGTAACTGTAAATTAAAGTGATATGATATTTAGCAATTGTTTTTTTGTTGTCATTTTGTTGTTATGAATGCTTCTGAGGGATCACTTTCTTTCCAGATTTTTCTTTCTAACAAAATTTCCAGAACACAATTGACAGAATTTACTAGGTAAGCAAATGGAAAAACAACGTTATTATACACTTCTACAACATCGCAATTATAGTTTTCTACCTAAACCCTTGAAACATTTGTGATTCCTTAATGTTTTATGGTACTGCTTTACTCCTAAATTTACTGTTTTACTCATCCAAACTCCACCCATCTTTATTTTATTTTATATCTGAACAATCAAATTACCTTGAAGATTTTCCAGATTTTTAGATGGGAAGCATCTGGTGCTGTTAAGTGATAAATTCGTATCCCACAAGCTTTTTAGTTAAGAAATAAAGGAAATGTCTTTGTTTTTACAGTGTTCGGCCATTTTCTTTCTATCTTTAATTATAGATAGATGTTAATAGACTTATATTAAATTTGAAGATAAATCATCAACACAATTATCCGAAAATAATACAACGAACTAAAATTATGTATTTTTTCATTCAACACGTTTCCGGAAAAAGCAATTCCTCCGACTGTATGGTTTTAATTTGACAAGAAATATTTGGTTAACTTTTTATAAGTAAATTTATAAGAATCATAGCGTAATGAGAAATATATTACAAATCTATCATTTTACTTGCTAAAATGTTTGCATACTTGTACACAGTATAAATGTTGTCTTGTTAATTGCATTCTTATGCAAATAACTTTGATGTTGATAAAAATGCTCAACAAGTAAAACAAACTATGAAATAACATAAACATCATACTAGTGTGATAAAAATCTGTTAAAATCATAGTTGTTGATGTCCTATTGAAACTTATTGAGATTTTCGTCCCTTTCTTAAATCAAGTCAATGATATATAAACATCCATTGGGTAAAAAATATTCTATTTCATTGAAAATGAAGGTATATTCATATAAACAGTGTGAAAAAATACTGATACATATTTATCTATCGACAGGTATATCAAAATTAACATAATGTTATGATATTCATAATCGTTTATGATCTTAATAATCCCGATTTCTTTTCACGATGACTTAATATGTAAAAAATCTAGAAAAGGGGAGATTCAGTAAACATTCAAACATTCATGAAATAATGAAACTTAAAATACAAAATTAAATGAAAATTGTAGACTTGGTTTACTGAAGTGCAGTAAGCCATTATATATGATTCTTGTTTAGAACATAACGTATGTTAATTCGTCGTTCATTGCATTAATTATAACTTTCATCTAGCAATTCAAGTGTTTTTAATTTTTATCTTGTTGAATTATAATAATTGCCTTAGTCATTTTAAATCTGGTACACCAAGGTCTGAAGTGATGTATTGTTAAAAATATGTAAATGTATAGTTAATGTTCCACATTCCTAGTACATTTGCAGTATTGATTTATTACTGTTACTCAATCTCTGTTCAATTGTTTTTGGCCTTGTACATTGGTGAATAAATCGGCTGAGTTTGATTTGAAATTTTAAGATTATGGTTGAAATCACAAAGGTAATTTAAAGTAACTTTCAGAACGAAAAGATCGATACGTGTCATGCGTAATAACCAGAACTGTAACTTTATTTTGACTTCCCTCAAAAGTCAATATTGGCTGATAATGGGTACAATTCGTACCCGGTCCATAACACTTTGTCCATCACGGGTTTGGAAATAACTTTACCCAAATGCTCACTGTATAAGACAACGTGACATGCAAAGGAATGGTCACACTTGAAGATGAAAAAATACATTGTTTGATTGGGAGTATATGTCTAGTTTAGTCCATAATGTATTCATTTTTTCTCGACAATTATAATTTCTTAGACCTCCTCCAAAATTTTCATCATTTCTTTTTCATTTAATATTGCATTGAATTTCGGTAAATTCAGATCTAGTCTGTTTGCTTTTTTTGAACTGTTTCTATAGTAATCATAGGGCAGTAACATTTCTCAAACGAAAGCATGTGTTTGAGGCCCAAGTAGGACAGTTTTACACTATTTGAGGTTTAAAGAGGGGAGTCGACAGTGCGTTGTTTCGCGTATATATGAGATAAAGGGTTTGACTGAATCTTCTATACCTCTAAATTTTAAAGAAAAATAGTTGTAATTTCAAATGTTGAGGAAAATTCATCATTTATATAAAACTCTCTTTCTTGTTTGATGAGATCTCCTATTAAAATAATACCATCTACTATCCATTTATACAAATACTAGAGTTTCCAATTTTTATGTTTGGATTATACCATAAGTTCACAAAATAGTTCATAGAAAGTGTATAAGAACTATAAATCACATCACTCCAAAACGGATTAATGTCTAAATGTATTTTGGTCTTAATATAATATGTTCCCAATTTATACATTTGTTTCATGAAAATTTTAATTCCTTCAACCAGTTGACAGTATTAGTCATTTGAGTTCAAAAGTCTTTTGAGCCATGTAGCTTTTAAGACACAAAACATATAAAGTCTATCATCTTTAATACTCCAAATTTATGTTCTTGAGTTAAGTTTTTTTTGTCTTTATCTCTACCATTATTCTATAGAAACTTAAAGAATAAATTTTGTATTTGAATTATGTTTATCAAAGCTGGATTTGGTATACTTAAAATAAGATTCTTCAGTTTTGCTCAACATTCATTTGTCTTTGATATGTTAAAATTCTCCAAGAAGAGATATAAAGTAAATTTTTTGTTACAAGCGCTACTCATTTTTATGCCTCCCATCGAAGAGGGGGTATATTGTTTTGCTAATGTCAGTCGGTTTGTCGGTCGGTCTGTCCGTCGGTAGACCACATGGTTTCCGCTGATTATCTTAAAAACTGTTTATTATAAAGTCTTTAAATTGCACTTACTGAGTGATCATTACTAGTTGGTGACCTATATTGATTTATGGGTCTCTAGGTCAAAGGTCAAGGTCTCAGAGGCCTTAAATAACGGAATGGTTTTTTCTCATTATCTTGAAAACTATTTATTACAAAGTCTTGATATTCCACAAATTGATATAACATATATAGTAGGTGACCCCTTTAGATTTTGGGGTCACTAGATCAGAGGTCAAGGTCACCGAGGCCTTAATTGTCAGAATGGTTTCCGCTCATTATTTTGAAGAGCAGGGGTAGTTTTATAGAAAACACAACATACATAATTTTGTAAACATTTAGATATTATTAGAAATGGATTATTAATACTAAGATATTTCAACACTCAAATGAATGTTAACCTGCTTCGTTTTTGTTTAAAACTTGTTTGAAATTTATTTTTGTACACTGTCTTGCCATGTATATATTGTATTGTGTATCCTCATTGGCCAAGTGGCCTTATTGAATTTGAATAACAAACTTATCAAACTTATCATATTTCAAATATTGATTAGTTGTATAAAGTAGATGACCCATAGCAATTTTGAGGACCCTACTTCAATGGCCGAGGTCACAGGGGCCTTGAATGATAGAATGATTTCCGCTCATTATCTTAAAAGCTATAAATCATAAAGTCTTCATATTTCACATATGGATTGGTCATATATAGTAGATGATTCCTATTGGTTTTTTTTGGTCGCAAATTCAAAGGTCATGGTCGCAGGGGCCTTATTTCCGCTTATTACCTTGAAAACTATTTATCACAATGTCTTCATATTTCACATATTGATAATTTATATTGGGGTTACTAGTTCAAAGTTCAAGGTCTAAATAACATTTATGGTTAAAACTAGTACGTCATTATTTTTTCCAAACTAATGACGTCCCCATTAAACCAATTATGGCAAGTTTCTCTATCAAAATTACCAATAATATGAGTCAAAGGCTTGAAAGGGGGGCATATGTGTCGGTCGACATTTCTTGTTGTTTATTGACGTTGTTTTAAGAATTTTAACAGTATATGCTGAGTGTAAATGCGTTTCAAATTATGCATGTTATTTTTGATTTGCAATAATGCGTTTGTGTTATACTTTCAAATATATGTATTTTCTAATTAGTGATAATAAATTGATTATATTGCACGAGTTGAATAAAATTATATTATGCGAGCCTCTGGCGAGCATGATATTATTTTATTCAACAAGTGCAATAAATTCAGTAATTAACTTACACGAATTTAATATTCTATTTATCACATGCCCAAGATAAAGACCGTTGAAAGTGAAATAAGAGTCATTTTTCATTGACGCACCTATAGTATAACGCTATCATTTAGCGTGTCTTCACACTATGTTTGTATAACGCTAATGACGTCACGTCAAAATATATGCACGGCCGTGCAATACCATATTTACGGAGTCGCAAAATCGGCACGGGTGTGTGATAAATTGGAATTGTGCTACGATCTTCTTTAAAAAATAAATAAACGACATTAACGGGAAGAATATTTAATTCAACCGTATCCACTGTTTTTGAAAACCAACTGTACCATATTTCGGATATGGTGGAAATATTCAACAACCATGCATTCAACGCAATAGGCATGCTTTCATCCCTATAAAACAAATTGATTTAATGACCAAACCAAACTTGTAGTAAAATGTATTGCGGGCTTAGTGTTACAAATATGATTCAGTTGTGAAAATGCACGTTTTTCCCTTTTGCATATTGAAACTCACCCTCTTACGTATACATTTCCTTTACACGTTTGTAACACCTGTTGTGAGTGCGATCATATTTGTAACAAAAATGTAACATATATGGTATATGCTGCATTTCCTTTACACGTTTGTAACACCTGTTATAAGTGCGATCACATTTGTGAAATGTGTTACAAATATGATCCGTAACAAGATTGGTCCAACTGAGCAGTTCATGATAATATGAGATAAAAGTAAGAACATACTTATTATTTTGAGATATACGATATATATCGTATTGGGATAATCCAGGAAATGTTAAAAGTGGAATCTAGTGATACAGTCTTCTCTGTAGCGGTTCTTCGCATACAGTAAGTGTTGGGCTCTTACAAAAAATTTTGAGTGCAGCAATGCTATTTCTAATCACAGGCAACTTGTAGTCTCGTGTACCTGCAAAAATTTGTTTACTAATATCTAGTATTACATGACATTTAAATTTGAAAGTAAGTTGCATACTAATGTTGTTATTCTGTCCAAAGAAATAAAATAAGAACTCAAGATTAAAATTGCTACCGCCATTATATTTGCGAGACAGACAGATAACTGTAAGTGACTGAATAGTTAATTATATTACAAAGTTCTTGAGGTTTAATCTTAAAATGAAAAAAAAACATCAATGTGTACGGGAACATCGTGCATACTTTTAAAATAATCAGATCAGTACTGTCACAATTGTAAATGACGAAGCTTTACAAGAATAACTCATATGCAATACTAAT